AGAAAAGTGGCCTCTCTGGGACGCTTCACAGAACCTCTGTTAGTCTGTTGCTCTGAACTGTTCTGGGAGAAATCTCTCTCCTACTGCTTCCACATTTTCAATATTAAGTTGCTAGCATTTGTAATTACTGTTTAGGAAAAATACTGGAATTCAATATAATTTCGCAGTTGAAAAAATTAAGGTTATTTGCCAGGAACTGATTATTTCTGATAAATCGTAAAGATGAGCAGTAATTCTAATCAAGCTACTTATTTACAGATACTCAACTTGGGTTTAGATTAACTTCAGTGAAAGATGCTTGAAAAGTTAGGTCCTGATGTTTAATTTTGCATGACTCTAACATACTTGAAATAAAAACTGCGCTTCATAAATCATGTCAGAGTTTACCACAGACACGTATCGCTTTTTTGATGGTCCTGACTCTCTCCTGGCTAATTGCTATTAAATACAGTCTAGCAACATAAAGAAATTATGCCAACTAGCATTTTACATTCACCTTCAAAAATACTGAGGTTCTTATCCATCCTTTGCAACTCCGCTCACCTTGAGCTGGATTTGTTTACAAGTTGGAGATATTCTGTGTTACCCATCAAAACAATCCAACGTCTCTCAGTTCCACAGCCCTTACATTAATGCTGCTTTGACAGGCAAGAGCATTCAGCTTCTCCCTCACATTTGGATTCTTGCTTTTACCAGAATAATGCCCTTCACCCCTTTTCTCTTTGCTCTTTTTTTCATTCCTTGACTTGGCTTGGTCAGCCAGTGGTGCTGTGCTTCAGAGGCTTCTACCTCCCTCTGTTTGACCTTCGCAGTACCTTTCCTGGGACTGCTTTGTCTTTAACTGGTAGCGTGCTCATTACCCATGAGAATGAATACCGGTACACGGTGAACAATCAGCAGTTTTCCTACTCTGCTGTATCCCCCTGGAAAAAAGCTACCGGATTTTTGGAAATGTCTATAGTACGTATCCGTGGCTGGTTCTGCAGTCAGAGCAGCCTGTAGCAATGTTTGTCCCCCTGCAAGGTAACTTATACAAACCCAGGGAATAGGGATCCCAAACAAAATGTGACTCCATGCTGCTCCCATCCTGCTGAGCACTAGATGATTTATACCTACCACCACCGTGCAACGCGTGGGCCCTTTCCATGTCCCTGGAAAGACTTCTTCCTGTTCAACCGGTGACTCATGTCATCGTCTCTCCACAGCACGTCTTTGCCAGGCTCCATCAAAGAGCTACCAAGGAAGCACAGCAGTAGCTGGAAACCTTCTAGTGGTTAATATGCATTTAATGTGAGCTGCTAATTACACAATTTGGGTTGCTCAGTGTTACAGATGGAGTAGGAGTAAATGGGGCCTGCAAAGGGGTGATTTCAAGACAAGCAATAACCAGAGTAAAATATGTATTTCTTTGCTTTCAAATCTTTTTTCACAGGTTGTTCACTGTTCAAGTAGATGAAGACAAAGTCCAGGCACAGAGATTGCCAACAGACCAGCCCATCTCTGTTAAGAAACTCTTTGTGGGGGGTACTACTTCTCAGTTTCAGATGGCGCCCCTCAGAAACATACCACCGTTTGAGGGCTGCATATGGAATCTTGTCATTAATGCCACGTAAGTCTTACTGGTGACAACAGGTGCCCACTTAATGAGGTCTGCTTAACTACCTTGGCTGTGAAAAGAAACTTCATTGTTAAAAGGAATCATACTAACAGCAAATCCTGGAATATGATCTGTTTTCTTCATATGCCCTTCCTTTTCTTTTTGTCTACAATATGCACTCCATAGGCTATGCAATTAATGAACTGTTTTACAGACAAGACGACACCTGTCTATTTATCCATAAAATCAGAGAAATTCAACAGTAACGCTGCAGTAAGACTCTCCTCAGTGATAGGTATTTATGGTGTACTGTAACACTTGATTTTAAGTAAGGTTGATCTCCAAGAGTATACAAATCCTGAGAACCACCCTGGGAATTAATTTGCTTTGAGGAAAGTGCATGCTGCAGTAATCTGGAAGGAACAGGTAAGTAGAAAGAAAGGGAATGATGAATAAAGCAAAATCTCTATAGAATATTCCCATCTAAATCTTACTTTCACATAACTAAAGTACCTCAATTAGGCTCTCATCGCCCCACACTCTATCAATGTACACCAGCGAGGAGGACTTCTCCGCAGTGTGATTCAGCCTACCTGGGCTGGTAAAGCTTGCCCAAGAGAATGCCCGTCTCTCTGCACTGACTGTAGGAAGGAAAGCCAACAGTGATTATCATCTCTAATTTAAGTTTCCCATTTCTGTGCCTAAAACAGATGGGGTGAATCCTAGCACTTGTGTCCTGTGAAGTGGAATTACGTTGCAGCATATAGCTATTCTTCATAAATGGCGGGTAAAAAGGCAGAAAAACTAATAGCAGACATCAATTTCTTTGTGTTTTCTCAGCCCCATGGACTTCGCTCAACCCGTGTCCTTTGAAAATGCAGATATTGGCCGATGTCCCTCCCTAGAACCTGAGGTTAGGCCACCTGAGGATGAAGATAAACCAATCCACACAGCAGTTCTGATCCCACCTGAACCAGACATTAATGGGGAGAAAGAAAGGCCAGGGGTGACTCCTGCTTCCCCTCCTCCTGCAACACCATCTCTATCTTCAGCACTCGTAAGTGTAGATTACTTCCCTCAGGAAAAGTTTGAAAAGTTTCCAGGGAAAATTGAAAAGCTAGCCATCAAGAATAATGAAGTAATTTGTCACAAAAATAGTAACAATTCAGCATGATACTGCAAAGGGGCACCTTGTTACAGGTCAGTGAAACCTTTGGATAATGGAAAGTTGGTTGGTGTCATTTGCTTGGATTATCACAACAGTAAATTAAAGAATGATGTAACAGTAGAATTCCCTTTGGCTTGCATGCTTAGCCTTAAACCCTTGTACTTCAGGGTGAAAGCCAAGCAATATCTGATCAGGGTTGGAAGGGAAATTTTCCTATGGGAAATCCATGTCATTATGATATTTCTTGTGCTCTTCTCTGAAGCGTATGATAACACCCATGTCAATGGCAGGATGAAGAAACAGGTAAACCAGAGAGATCTGTTTGATATGGCAATTCCTCCACTCCTATTTCATAACTTTTGTCAGGAGACTTGCGAACTTAAGAACTGAACCTCAGAAACTGCTAAACTGAGCTCAACTGTTGTTGCCAGAAATCTTAAATAGGTAGATAGTGGCAAGCAGGCTTACGTGATGAAATTTAAGAAACTTATTCTGTCACAAGTGTAGCAGTTTTACAAGCTGATGCAAGATTTTACTGTCCAGAAAATGTATGTTTAGAAAACTGAATATTGAACTGAATAATGTATTCACTGGAAGATATTCATAGAATCACAGAACA